TCTCTCTCTCTCTCTCTCTCTCTCTCTCTCTCTCTCTCTCTCTCTCTCTCTCTCTCTCTCTCTCTCTCTCTCTTGCTCTCTTTCTCTCTCTGTCTTGCTCTTTCTCTCTCTCGCTCTGTTTCGCTCTTGCTCGCTCTGTATCTCTAGTTGAAAAGCCTGAACCGAAGCCTCAATCCTGGACCTCGAACAACTGAAGACGGCCGAATCCTGGACCCCGAACAAGGAAATTGCCAAGGCCCCAGTCCGAAGCCCCAAAAGTGTAAATGTTATACCCCCTTCTTTCCCCAAACAAAATGCCCCTGCGTCATGACTGTATTTGGACTGCATCAGTGTTTTTATACATGGTCACGATGACCGTATTTGGACTGGAACAGGGTTTATGTATGGTCATGATGATGGGGCGTTACGTTGGGGGAAAGAAGTTTGTGGTAGACGAGCTCGAGTTTTGGCCAAATGTAGATCAGCTGGCGTTTCCTAACCCAGAAGGGAGGTGCAGAGCCCTGAACCAGAGCCTGAATCCTGGACCCCGAATAGCTGGCGACGGCTGAATCCTGTACCCCCCCGGCTACTGTTAGTAATTGCAAAGCCCCCAGCCTCCCAACCCAGAATGTGGGCCTCGCTGCACTACTCACGAAATGAGCAAAACGAGAGTGAATCTTCCGCCAGAATATGGAAAGATACACGGCCATGATTTTTGTCTTTTGTGCATGTCGAGAGTAGTGCAGCGAGGCCCTGTAACTGCCAAGCCCCAAATCCTGAATCCTGCCGAACGGCCCAATTAAAATGGCATACCTTGAAGGCTGCCTTGGTGAACATTCTGGAGTGGGAGTAGCGGAAGGAGAGGCTGTGCAACGAGTAGTTCGGTGGGAAGGTGGTAGTGTAATTAGTTGTAGAGCCCTTAACCCAAGTCTGAATTCTCGGTGGTTTCCATAGGGCTCTTTGCCTGCTATAGCTTTTCTGAATTGAACATAGTTTGATTGTGTTTTTGTTTAGGGGGCGATTTGTAGCGGATCGGCCTTGCTGAGTACGTCTGGGCAATAATCCCACCAGCATCTCACGTTCCCGAGTATTCTGTTCAGCTGCGTATCAGAGACAAGGTCGGGGATCTTGTGACCCATGACAACCGGCAAGGGACGAATCCTGGACCCCGAACCCTATGTGCCAAGCCCACACTCCCAGGCACCAAACTGGAATGGCCAAACCCAAATCCTGAACCCTGAACCCTAATCTTAGACGAATATGTCTGGGCATATGTCTGGGCAATAATCCCACCAGCATCTCACGTTTCCGAGCATTCCGTTCAGCTGCGTATCAGAGACAAGGTCGGGGATCTCGTGACCCAGAACGACCGGCAAGGGACGAATCCTGGACTCCGAACCCTATGTGCCAAGCCCACACTACCAGGCACCAAAATGGAATGGCCAAACCCAAATCCTGAACCCTGAACCCTAATCTTAGTCCCTACTTCGTCTTTGTGAACCCCAAATGTTCTAATTAATCAAACTGATGGCATAACCCTTCCGCCCACACACTGATTTTAATTCCCTCTTCATTTTTTTTCTTCTTATTTTTATTATTACAAGTGGACCTGCCGCAGCGAAGGACGATGACAAAAACATTTTGCGAAACACCCTAGCGATCAGTTGGACGGGCAACTTGGACCCCATCGTTGCAATGTACCCCTACCGGACGCTGCCCAACTTTGCAAAATGCCCCGGCAGTTGCCAAGTTTTCGTAGGTACAATTGCAAAAGGGCAAGCGAATTTGAACACCCACCTGACAGGGGCATAACACAAACATGTCAGTCCGAAAGGCCATTCCGCTGTGCCCATATCTTTTAGGGACATTTTGACATATATCTCAACTTATGGGGGTATTTCGAAAATTACCGTCCGCCCAAAAAAAAGGAGACACTCTCTCTCTCTCCGCCCTCAAAAAAAGGAGACATTCTGTGTGTGTGTGTGTGTGTGTGTGTGTGTGTGTGAGAGAGAGAGAGAGAGAGAGAGAGAGAGAGA